ATGAAAAAACTTTACAAGAAAAGAAAGACAGAAATGAAAAATAATTTATCTTATTATTTAATATGAAAAGGAGTTATACAGATTATATTAATATAATAAATGAAATGGAGAATATAGAACGGGTTGTCATAACTGATAATAGATGTAAAAAAATATGTTATTTTATTTTAGAATTAATTAAGTTTTTGATACAATATATTAAAAATATAAATATTAATATAAATGCCAAAAAAGAAAAACAAAAATAATAAGACAGGTTTAAGTGTTTCATCAACTGATGAAGAAATTGTTAAAGAAGCATCAGTCACTGAGTTTGCTTGTCCTATGTGTAAAAAGATGTTAGAACTTAGAAATGAATTAGAAATAAAAAATAAGGGTAATTGCAAATGCAGTTGTGTGCCAATAGGGTTCAAAATATCTAAAAATGATAAGAAAATGAACATTGATAAAACTAAAGACGGCATCAACTTAGAAACAGATGCTCATAATATTTGCATCAAATTTGGGAATGAAGCTACAACGTCAGATAATGTTGATAACGAAACACAGGAAACTATTAAACAAATGATGAAAAATTAGTATTTAAAGACTAGAATTAACATAATTTAAACATTTAGTTTTAAAAGTATAGTTGAATAATATAGTATATGGTTGAATTTTCAAGTTTAACACATTTACATTTTGGAGCACTTGAATTAGACAAGCAAATTGGAGACAATTATAATGGTAATTAGTTATATTATACTTGTAAGTGTGGATGTAAAATAGTCTTAACTCGTACTCAAACTAAAAAATATAACTGTTTATTACTTAGTGTTGGTCTTAGCTATGAATATTTATATCTGGACAAAGCGTTAGTATGTGGACATACTCAAAAAGATTTAGATAACATTGTTAGAGTTATGGTAAAAGGCGAAGAATTTAAACATTTAAGAAACAGAGACATTCGAAATTAAAATATTTAGTTTTAAAACTTTAGTTTTATAATATAGTATATATGGAAGGTGTGGATAAACTATTTTTGAAAATTGATGAAATAATGGAACAAAATAAACGCATTTATCAACTGTTAGAAAGTATGAAGAAACCAGCTTACAATAATACTAATAATTACCAACCAAAAGAAGTTGATAGAGAGAGCACTGAATACAAGAATAAACGAAATGTATATATTAAAAAACTTAATGAAAAAGTTATTAAAGAACCTAAACAATCAAGTCTGGATTTCTACCAAGTCAAGTATATTGAAGATACCAAGAAATATGTTTAATCATTAACTAACAAAATTTCGTGTCTCAGAAGTGGTTTGTTTATTCCTGCTACTCTGTAAGTTTTATTGCCCATAATATCATATTCAATTTTATCAACATTGAATATCTTATTAGACCATTTAGAGTTATACTCTTTTCTGTCGGTGTAATTGCCCCTTTTCTTTTGAAACACTTTTATCTTATCGTTCTCCTGTATTCTGGGATACTTTCTTTTGTTCTTTTCTCGTAGTTTCAGATTGACCTTTACATTTATTTCATTGTCGTCCTTGTGTGCTTCGGTTGGTGTCATCCTTGTTGACGAGTGTAATGTGCTGTTATACTGTTTCAATGCTGGTGTTAAGGCATCGGTCCATTTCATATTATTAAACCTAACTCTATCGTGAATTTTGTTTTTCATCGTCCTAATAAAACGTTCGGCTACATTTGCGTGTGTCTTTGTTATTATGTGTTTGATACCTTCGCTGTTGAAGAAATCCTGAACTTGGTTTTTGGTTGCAAATGCTCCATCATCATCAGAATACACAGACATCGGATAACCCATCTTTTTAAAACTTGCTCTTAGTGCTTTTAGAACGTGCTCTCCGTCTCTTTCCTCCATCGGAATTGCATCTGCTAATTTACTGAAGATGTCAATCACGACTAAAGCATACTGTGGAACGTTCTTGTCTTTAGCTAAAGGTGACATATGCATTATGTCTATTTGATATTCATATCGTGCGAAGGGAGCGGTATAGGAATTAGTGCCTCTATAATTTTTGATTTGTTTATTTGGTTGTTTCTTTAAGAAAGACTTTACATCTTCTAATGTTATCGTTGGGTCTTCTTCCTTTGCCTTCTTGTGTGTTGCTTGTGTGCTTCCGAAACCCTCGTCTAAGTCATAATAGATGTTGCTGATTATTTGGTCTTTCGTTAATCTCGCCATTATATTATTTGTTAGAAAATATTTTTTATCGATATAACCCCCACCCCTTAACATTAAAAAAACTACTTAAAGAAAAATGGATATAATATAGTAAGAGAAAAAATGACACTGTTTAATTATGATAATTGTCCTTGTAAAAATAAAAAATGTAAGTCTGTCGTAGCACTAGCTAATATTTTACCTGTTAATGTTTGTAACCTTATAGGTGGCTGTATTAGAGTAACATGTTTTGATTGCTGGTATTTGATGCATGAAGAAGAACATTTTATGAGAGATAAAGACATTCCTGAAGAAGGACTGGAAAAAGCAGAACTTCAATTACAAGTTATTAAACTAATGCAAAATAATGTGTTTACTCTACTAGCAGAAAACCAATATAGTATGAAAATAAGACATTACAGAAAACACATTGACCGAGTATTTGATATACAAGAAGTTAAAGAACGGTTTAAAAATAGAAAAATGTATTATCAAGCATTAAAATCATACTGTAAGAATAATGAATATGAAGTTTGTATCATTTTAAAAAAATGTATTGACATTGAAGATTTAAAAAATTTTAAACGTTGTGGATTTAGCTTTCCAAACCTAAACAGTTGTTGGTCATATAGAAATAACAATTATTATATGAGATATATTCTTAGCGAATTAATTGACATTTACATAGACCAATTAATAAAAGGATACGGGCATTATTGTTGTGAGTATAGTATGAGTTGTTATATTGGTTGTATCGCTGGTGAGATTGAATACGGGTCAAATTAACTTTTGTTTATTAATATTATCATCTTATAATATGATTAAACATTGTTTTTATAATCTAACAAGAAGGTTAAGACAATTAAATTAAACCTGAAACCCAGACTGGCCAACCAGCAACCCCTAGCCAAAACTACTTAAAGAGAAAAAGCCTTATATATTAAGAGAAAAATGAGTGAGGGTAAAATGTCAGAGAATAATTTTATATTTGAGAATTGTGCTAGCTTACCTGCTGATGTATTAAAAGGTATCATTGCATATAAATTAGGGCGACCTGAGTATTTGAAACTAAAACATAATCATATTAAGACATTAAAGAGAATACAACAACGATATAAAATAGACAGAACAGAAACAAAAAGAAAGACAAAGCGCTATACTGTTGAAGATGGCGATGATATAAAGAGACACGTAATTGAGTATTACATTTCAAGAAATATACCTTTAAGCATAAAAAGCATCAAAGATATAGTGTTTAATGAAAATGAAAACTTAGATTGTTTGTTAGATGGCATTGAAACCGATAACGGTTATGAAGCAGTGATAATAGTTGAGGTAAATATGTTTGTAAGGTTTCATCATTTCAATTATGAAGACGACCATTTTAACACTTTTAGTTTTCATTTTCATAGTGATGATTTTGTAGATAATATAACCATAGATAATATAACCGAAGTAATGATAGAGGCACATCAAACAATATACAGATGTATTGATGATGAAAGAAGTAGAATGAATTTTGGAGGAGTACAAAACATAAGGTTTAAACTAATTGTTGATGAACCTGTGTAATTCATAACTAAACCATAATTACAACATTTATATTATTATATGTTATAATTATAGTGAACTTTTAATCTATAAACATTTCATTAAATGACAAACCACAACAACCGCCCAAAAGCCAACCCGTGAAACCACAGAAAGTCCTATCCTCTTTCAATCAATAAAACTAAAAGTTGAAATCTGGAACGAGACAGGGGACCAAATCATCAATTCGTTACCACATCCATATCGTTATTTCATGCCCCCAAAATCAGCCTTGAAAAAACGAATAAGGTGGTACACGTGTTGAATTGTGAAATAAAAAACAGAACAGGCAACCATCAACCCCCCACCCCCGAGGACCAGCCCTTTCTACATTTTTGGGGGGAGGGGGGGGCGGGGGGGCGGGGGGCGGGGGGGGGGGGGGGCACCCGCTGAAGTTTTTGAGGAGCCCTGAAGTGGGATTTGGATCAACTCAATTCGTGTTTTCCAATAAGCTTGTTGTTATGGAGTTATGGCGGGCCCAACATCAAGCACCCAGTACAGTGGATTCCACCCATGTTGCACCCGTATGTTTGCGGGTGCCCCATCAAACCCAGCGAGGTGGCTGCCCATCAACCAGCAAGCGGGTTCCCCCTTTCTGCCAGGGTCATCTCGCACCTGGGCACAAAGCTGGGGTAGGTTATTTTGTTGAGCTTTTGTCACGCCGTCCCCTTTTTAGGCTGGTTTCAAGAAATCAAAGGGGAACTACTCAGTTTGGGATTCCTTCATTTGGCGAGAGATCCAAATATATAGACCTAACAACTAGAAGCTCTCCCTGAGCGGATGATGGAACCATGTCATTTGCGCGGATATCATATCTATTCCAGCTGGCTGAGGTTGTATTTTGAGTAACCCCCTTGCGTTCAGTTTAGCATTCGGCGGATCATAAAACTACATAAAAGCTGGTTCCACGTTAGATTCCTTGTTGATCTCCTCGGGTAAGTGAAGGTTGCAGGCTTTGTGGGGCAGTTCCAACCAATTATGTGCGTCGATATCTAGTGTTCTGATTGGTTGTTTTCTCATCGAGCTTTTGCAGCTTCCACTTTTTGTAGCCGCCCAAAAAAGACGCTTTTGCCAGCTGATTCAGAGGATACCACCTTGGTTATACTTGGTTCAGAGTCGCCCTCCCTTCCCCCTCACCCCTCCCTTCCCCACTTCCCTCCCATTTTGGGGCGGTTTTCGCTTTGGATTCCCTTTTGAACCGCTTCCCCCGCGGTTTTTTTCGCGCCGCGTCCTCCGAGGTGCGGCGGAGCCGGGCCAACGTCTTGGTGGGCGCCACGGGCTGCGGCAAGTCCACACGGCTCCCGCGCGGGGACCCAAAGCGAGAGGCGTCCTTTTGCCCAGGGCTTGAGGTGGAACAGGCTTGCCAACCTCAATGACCAAGCAGGGCGGAGAATTGGAAGCAGTCCTTTCGTCATTTTTGGTTGTTTTGGTCGAAAAATAGATGGCGATTCCTGGTTTACCTGGTGGTTTAACCATCTACTAGGGCAACCCATCTATGTCCCCGAAAAGGACGCCTATGCTCACCCCCTGAGTTGGTGGACTTTAGCCACTTTTTGGGTTTCAAACATTTGGGTTTGTTGACAAATCAGATTCTTGTCCGAACCAAACAACCATTTTAGTGGGTCTTTAGTGGTAAACAACAAAAAGAGTCGGGCTTTTCTGGGCCAACCCACCGAGGAAGCGAGTTGTAAGAATTAGCGGATTTGTTTGTTGTCCGACCAATTCTGCAGGGACTGCGTAATTCTGGTTGGGCGGTTGCAGCATTTAGCCCAGCTAGGCCTGTTGGAGGCCTGTGTTTCCTCGGGGCCGTTTGCCAGATGGCTTGCCTGGACGATAGGGGATGCTCCGCACAAGCCGAAAATTGGATCGGTCAGCGAGATTTGCGGTTGGTTTGCTTCAACTTTCCTGTGGTGGTTGAATGTGGTTGAACAATATCGGCTTTTGGTTGCCGAAGCTTCTATTTGAGCTTCTTTTTAGCAGATGTGTGAAGGCGACATAGCTGGAACCCTGCATCCAGGAAGGTAGCTCGTGTCAATTGTCCTCTCCTTGGGTTTCGGTGTACGCAGCAGTTTCTGGACATCGACCAGCTGAAAAACCTTATGGCATGAGTCCTTTTCTTGCACAAGAAAGCAGATGGCTGGATTTCACGGATCTAGTTTTCATGCCCGACATGGGTGCGTTTCTGTTGAGGGTACCCGTTTTTGTTTTTAGGTGTCGCATCACATGGGTCCTGGATGCAGATGACATCTGAATCGCAGGAGGTCTTGCGGACCTTTGGGTGATTTCGGCTCAGTTTTGACCATGGGTTATCTTCTCCCGTGTGGTTGGAAAGTCGAATAATTTTGTGGGTGGTTTCCCTCAGGGTTGTTCTTCCCATGTATCACGGAGCTTGTGAGCCAACTGTATGTGGCAGCCCCGCAACCTTCGATGGCCGGCAGTTTGCCAGTAGCAACCCCCTCAGTAAACCCTTTGTGTTCAACAAAGCTTTGTTCACCGCATCTCAGTGCCGGGGAAACCTCCTTTGATCACGTCAAGCGAAAAGCGGGAAGAAAAAAGACAAGAAAAAAAACCGGTCCACGGCAGGTCCAAAGGTTACGGGACTTACACCAACAAGAGGCTTGCTACCCCCATTCTTTTTTTAACCATGATCAAAGTCGCCCCCTGAGTTGGGTTAAAGGGAAACAGAAAAAACAACACCAGAGCAAAAAAGAAGAAACAAAAACAACACACACACACACACCAGTGGTGGTTATTGTGACTTTGACAACCCCCAGAAAAAAAGTCACAATGACCCCTGGCTGAAGCGCCCACCCAGTGACTGGAACAAGCTTCAGCCCCTTAAGGCTTGCTGGTTCACCACTTGAGCCACGTGCTCAAAACCGATTCGGGCAGATGATCCGGTTAGGTTTGGGACAATCCCCTGGCCATAAATAGCTGCGGAATTCCGCCTTCTTAATTCTTGAAGCATGGTTCTGGGTAGACCAGTTTATTACCGAGTGTTGATTATGACTCACTTGGGCATTTGAATGTAGCGGAGCAAGCAGTCACTGGCTGGTCACATGCTCAGCCCAAGCCTGTGATTTTGAGGTTGACCCTTTGAGGAGCCATCCACGATCAAGGTTCTGAGATGAATTCTTGGTTTTTGAATGATCAACCAATTTGCCCACATTCGATTCGTCGATGGCAAATTCTGGGTTTCACAGACTAGATTGCCCCAGAAATCCGATTCTGCTTCGAACTCCCAGACTACTTCTTTATGGGCTCCCCTTTTTCTGGGGGTTCCTGGCTTTCGGATATATTTCTTGGGTTGTGTCCCCTCCCTTGTGTTTTTTTCCTTTTGGGTGTCTTGACCCCCCCGGGGCAGTGGATGTTTCTTGCATGTTTTGATTTCTGCTGGGCTCCCCTTCTTCTGGACACCTCCCTTCCCTTTTTTTCTTTCTTCTTTTTGTTCTTTTGTTTTTTCTTTTTTAACAGAGACGAAAAGGGGGTACGCTCAAGAAAAGGCACGCCAAGTGGTCGCTGTTTGTGGCACATGCCACGCAGTGAAGGCCACTGGGAATTCCAGGCAATTCATCCTGGCGGAGCCGAAGAGCCGAGTGCTGGTCACCCAGCCCCGGCGCGTGGCGGCCGTGGAGATTGCCAAGCGCGTGGCCAAAGAGCGGGGCGAGCGGTTGGGCAAGCGCCCTGGGCCGCAAGAAGAATCCGATCTGGCTGGGCCGGCTGGGCCCATGCTTCTGGCTGGTTTTGGAGACTGGGTCCCTTTCTCGCCCTTTTTTGGGGGAGGGTTCCCCTACTAAAATAGACTACAGAAAAGGGTACCCTTATTCTAACCTCTCTACTGGAGGACCTAGGAGATGAGTAAAGTGAGAAACTGGGGTTGTTTCCCTTCAATCCCATTTGGGGGGTGAAAGTCGGACCAGGACGGCGCCCGAAAAAACCCGGGACAAATGGGGGGTTTCCCTATGGCTTCCCTACTGTGGAAGCACGAAATCCGTTCGCACCACCTGTAAGAACCGTGAGAAATCAATGTTCTTAGTTGGTCGTCCATCCACAGTATGATTTCCCTTGACCACCCCATAGTTAACCTGGAATCCAAAAAGGGGTGTCCCAAAAGGAGCCTCTCTTAATGATTGTTCTTGCGGTTCCACGTTAATCTGCAGGGAGCAAGTGGTCTTGCGCATCTCTGTTTTCGAGCTGTACCCTCCCCATTCTCAAGCATCCTTTTGCTCATTAGACTTTAGGCGTTTGAAATCTGAAGTGAGCTGCCTTTGTGGGGAAGCTCTAGGAGGAGATATGGTGGGAAATTGGTGGTAGGCTGCGGCTGCGGGTGTGATGTTCTTTGGGAATCCGCTTAAAGTGATGTACCAGTTATGTGGCCCCACTCCGCGCGCAAAAACATTGACCTGGCGGCTTGGGGTGCACCCCGCCAGCTTTACTAAGATGCGCCAGGCCATGATCAAATCGGCTTGTTGCTTGAGGTTCGTAGGATGCTGATGACCACGTTTTCTGGGGGATGTAGATATTCAAGGGTTCCTCATGGAAGCACAGCTAGTGCCTGCATAGCGAGTTTTGTTTTACTGTGGCACATACGGGCGTGTACTAAAATAGGGACTCGTGAAACCAGTGGATTTCCGTTTTGGTTTCCCTTTGCAAAGATCTGCTCATGAAAAAAAACAACTATGGTTGAACATATATTTGGTAGACAAACTCGACCACGGTACAAGCTTGGGAACTTGTGTCTGACAGCCAAAGTGACCCCAACATAGCCGTTGGGGAAAAGATAACAACTACTGAAATGACCCCTACCAAGGGATTTGTAGAGGGATAAGTCCTGGAATTCGCTGCCTGTGGTTGCAGTTCGGAAATCCATCACCCGTTTATGCTTTCAAAAGAAAGGGTATGTTTTTGGTTATCCTTTTCCTAGTCTTAGACATCACCGTTAGGGTACAACAGAACTCGCCTGACACTTATTTTTCTGATAGGAATGTGGGGTACCGGATCTCCGGTGAGAGCGTGGGCACCGGGTGCAAGCTGCAGTTTGCCACCATAGGCCGAGTGGACAGAGGGAGGGGAGGGTGATTTGGTGTTCATGGCTCTCTGCGATCAGATCTTGAATTTGTGGTTTCCTTGGATCACCTAAATGATTAGTTGGGTTTTTCTCTGGGTTAGAAGTTTTCGCATCAAACGGTCGTCGGGGGGGGGTGCGGATTCTTTTTCCGGGCCAAACGTTAGTAAAACCTTCAGGAGAGCAAACTTTGGAAGGAACTCATTTGACTCACTTAGTCAATGGGCTGGTACCTGAGGTGAATTCTGTTGCTGGAACACTACGCATTGACGGGCTCGCAATTAGAACAGGCGGCCCCAAATCGAAATGCAGCCAAAAACCAAACGATCTTTATCTAATCGCTTCCGCGAAAGGAAGACCCGCATCGGTCCGCGAAGCTGCGGGAAAGGGCTTGCGTGTTGAGACGGCTCTTGGGGCAGCGCTCCAAAAGAGCAGGTGTCGACCGTGCATTTCTTCCTGTGTTGTATGTGTGTGCACAGCTGTTTGCCAGTTTCGAAGATGCGGGGGATTTCCGCGAAAGCGCTGCGAAAGCTCACACGAGTAGTACAGCGAGTCTGGTTGCTCCAGCTTGAGCTCAAATGTCCAAGAATAGTGTGCAAAGGAGGCCACCCCTTGGATCTTGTACCCATGCCGGCCGAGATTCAGCCCTTCTAATTTCAAGGAGCTGCCGCGAAAGCGCTGCGAAAGGGTCGATCCAAACCAAGTTCCCGCGAAAGGAAAACACGCGCGAAAGCTTCGCGAAAGCTCGGCCAAGGAGTGATACGAGGATATCCAAATCTCGACCTTTGTTCAGCACCGCTCAAACGTAGCCAGAAGCTTGAACGCGATGTCTCTCTGTGTCTGTTTTGTTTTTTTGTGTGTGTCTGTGTCTGTGTCTGTCTCTGTCTCTGTCTCTGTCTCTTTGTCTGTGTCTGTGTCTGTGTCTGCGTCTGTGTCTCTGTGTGTGTGTGTGTGTTTTGGATCCTCATATACTGTACGGCTACTGGCTGCATTAATGGTTGTTCAGAACTGCAGAAACCGCCGATCTATCAAACGTGCTTGCCTTCCTGGATCGAAGATTGAAGCTGGTTGTTCGTGCCCCACATTTTTCTAAGTTACTTTGGCCCAATTGGCTGTCTCGCTGCTTAGCCATTTCTGAGGAAGTAGGCAGCAATCTTCCTCCATGCTGGCTCTTTGCACAGCACGGTTGTCCAGCATTTCTGTGCCGTTGTGAGTCTGGATGCAAGGAGGGAGCCTGCACACACCCATCCATACATATTATACACCTTATTATACGCATATGCATATACACATAGAAATCGACTGGGATACATGCACTTGTCGGGCAGTCAGGAGTAAAGCGTATGAACAAATCAATGCTCACTCTGACAGGCTATGTGCTGACCTGGTTCCTGGGCAAGCCGGAGCAGTTTGCCAGCTTCAGCCACATCATCATTGATGAGGTAACCTCCCCCCCGGTTGCGATCGGTCGGCTCGATTTCGGAGCGATGGTTTGCGTCAAGAACTGCAAAATGCGTTTGGATTCCCTTTGGTTTCAAAAGAGACACGTCCGCAGTTGGCATGCTTGAGCCAACATCTCCGATGGCAGAAACCACCTGTGAGGGTCGGCCCGCTTGCTTGAGGCCTTTGACGCGTGTCAATGGCTCGCTAAGCTTCAGGTGCACGAGCGCGGGACCGACATGGAGCTATTCCTTCTGCTCACCAAGCTGCTGATGTACTACTTCCCCGGCCCCAAGGCCTGCCCTCCCTCTTTGCAAGTGACAGGGGCTCCCTTCCAAAGGAAATGAATCTTCCAGGTGCCTCCCCACAGGTGCCATGCTAGTTGGAAGGGCCAAGGGCACCGGTGAAGCCTCCGCAATTCTTGGGGCTGGTCGCCAGGTGATCCTCATGTCAGCCACCTTGCAGCCTGAAGAGTTCAGCGCCATGGCAAGAGTTCAGCTGCTGAGAGAAAGGGCTGGTCAAAACCAATGGGATCCCATTTTGGTTGGTAGGTGCACCACCCATTTTAGAGCCAATTTTAGTGGGGATTGGGATGTTCACTGGGGGTAAGGGATTTGACCCATGGCCAAATATAGAGGAATTGAGCTCTGACCTCCAAGAGTGCCCATGCCCCCTACAGTTCCGCTTGGATCTGCACATTTGGCTCGGATGTTCCAGGGGTCATAGCAAAGCTGCATTGTGAATCCATGGCAAGCTGCTCGAAGCGCAGGTCAGTACTTCTCCGACTTTGAGGTCGGAGAGACAATCACAGTGCCCAGACCTTGGCGAAGGCGCTCGCGGGAGGACCATGTGAGAGTGTCTTCAAGCTGAGCAAAGAACCTCGGCATTTCCCGAAGGTTCCCAAGACAGCTGGCATCTTTTTCCAAGCTAAGCTGGCTTTCTGTTGAGTTCCTTCTCAAGCCCCCCACCCCTCCCCCAGTTTTGACGCGCTCGGGCTTCCGCGACTGAGGCCAGGACGGACCTTTCCAGTCCAGGAGCTCTTTCTGGACGGGGCTACCACGGGTTCGCCCAGCGCTCGCGGCATTGGTTTCTGTGTAAGTTTCGCTTGGGCGTGGTGTTTCAGGCGAACCAAAGGAACCCTGAAGTGTCCAGGCGGCCAAAACACAAAAGCAGTATTGCCTGCCATCGCCTGTCCGTCGAGCCAAGATTCTGCCGGAGACTCTGGCGGTATTTGCATTGCCCATATGTTTGGACTGTTTCTAGGGGGCAATCCTCAAATTCAGAAGGACCGTTTCTAGGGGTTAAGCCTGAAATTCAGAAGCTGCGGTCTTCTGAGCTCAAGGCCGTCTTATTTTGTGGCTTTGATGGCAAAGCAAAGGTCAGATGCATGCATCATCCGATTTGGTGATTGGTGGTCCTCGGGGCTTCCACTACCAGGTCCAACCACACTCGGGCGAGAACGAAGCATTTGCTTTGCATATCAGAAAACCGCATGATAGATCAAAAGAAGATGAGCATTCACCACATATGGGGGGGTGTCTTCTTCTTTTTTAGGGGACTCCCCAAAATGATGGTTGTACTTTGAGTTTTCCCTCAAAGTCCAATATGGGGTACTGGTTCTCTAAAAGCAGACGACCCAGAAAACCCTTGACATCATGAGACTGCCATGGCCCGGACTGGCCGCACTCGCCGCAATGGCCGGAATGGCCGGAGCCTCGGCGTCTTCGGTGTGTGACGGCACGCGGACCGCTGCGAAAGTGGCAGATGGGGCCTGGAACGTGAAAGTGCGGGAGGACCTTGCGTATGTCACAGGCCGGGACCTTTAGACCTTTTGATTCACGGTTGCTCTGCCGTAAATTCCCATGGTTTTGTGGTTGAGTATGACCGGTTTGCCGTAATTTTCATTGATTTTGTGGTATCCCGGTTTTTCTGAGAATTGAGAAAGACTCTGGGGCTGGTTGTGTTTCAGTTGTTGGGGATATACTGGGGTGGTCAGAACTAGTCTGCCGGAGAAATGGCTGGACGTGCAGCCGGGTGGCCAAGCTGGTATTGTGTGGGACCCTTGTCTTGTTTTCACACCGTGGTCCAACTGATCATGCTACCCATTCCACAACACTTGCTGTCCACAAGTCCGGGCTCCAAACCAATAGACGCAGAGGTGTGACGCTATGCACCAACACCCGACAGGATGGGGCATGAGAGTCCGTGTCCCGGAGGGCACACTTTCAGTCCCGTTGGCATTCTGGGCTCGATGTCGCATTCTAAGGAATCTAGCAAAAATGACGCAGAGGGTCACCATTTTTCGGTTGATACCAAAGCAGGAATGGATAAGGCAGAAGGGAAGCAAGCATATTTATAGGCACTTAGGCGACTGGAAGGACGTGGAGCGCAGCAGGGCAAGCAGGAAAGACAAGAGGAAACCGACTGGGAGGTGCAGACGTTGCACAACTGACAGCGCAGATTTCCCCGCCTCTCTCTGTCTGTCTTTCTGTCTGTTTGTTTGTCTGTCTGATTGCTTGCTTGCTTACTTTCTTTCTTCTATATTCAGTATTTCTGTCTTTCTGTCTTTGATTATTTCTGTATTCTATATTTCTGCTTGGTGCTTCCGTTTTCTTTCTTTCTTGCTTTCTCTCTCTCACAGTCACTCTCTCTCTCTCTCTCTCTCTCTCTGTCTCTGCCTCCGTATACGCACACGTACGGCCGGCGAGCCTGCGAGAAGCAGATGACCAAGTTGCGCGCAGTCTCGGAGTGTCTGGCCGGGCTTCGACATGCTCAGCGCGGATTGAATGTCGGGCAAGCAAAGAACGTGCAGCGATCGGCAACTTCAGAAAGCTGAAGCTTAGTTCTTTGCGCTACACGCGAAACCATGAGGTTTGCTGCCTAAGTCTCGGAGTCAAAATAGATCCGAAGGCGGGTAAGTGTTCAAGTTGCCTCGTTCAAGCAAAGCATTGCTTTTCAATGTGACAAGGCAAGGTGAGGCACGAAGAATTGTCGCACTAGAACCTGAATCAAGGCAGTATGGCTTACTGCATCATTTAGGGTTTACTGAATCTGTGTAACAGGCTACTTGGACAACAGCTTCACCATCATGAACGTGTCGGAGCCAGGAAGCATGCGCATGGTGAGCAATGTCACGGATGCTCGACTGCAGAGCCCCACGGAAGTTGCCCTCAGCGGGGACTTGGCCTTTGTTGCTCTCGAGATGTCGACCCTCGCCGTGGTGAACATTTCGGATCCTGCCAATCCACAAGTCGAAGGAGTCCCTCGAATCAGTGAGTCAACTTGTCTTGGATATTTGGCTGTGGCTCAAAAAACCGGTACCAAAATGGATCCTTGCGAGTGGAAACATGGACCAAAACTTGTGTAACCCCTCCTGTTTAATTTTGAGCCACACCCATTTCATGCTTGAGTTGCAAGAGGGATCAGACAGAAGCTGGGCCATTCAAGCGGCAAGGTCGTTGATGCCTTCAACAAGTACCCATATGCTTATGGCATAGCTGCAAGCGGAGAATTTGCCTATGTTTTGTCCTACGATTCAGCCACGCTTATTATCATCAATGCCTCAGACCCTACCGAGCCATTTATTTGTGGCACAGTCACTGACAAGGAGAGGGCCTGGCATCACACATGGCCAATTTTGTTCCTTCAAGTTAGCCCCTTCCTGTTTGCATCACATTATGCACAGGTGGCAGCGGCATGCCATTTTCCAGGCTTTCTCCTGTCCGTACTTGCTCAAGGTCTGCTTTGATCCTGAAGTGTCTCCTGCATGCGGCGCATCAGTCTTAAGCAGATTGGGGCTTTGGTTTCATTCCCTCATTTAAGGCACAGTCCTTAAATGAACATCAGGCGGACCACGGGGCAAACAACATCCGGGTGGTTCTGTGAGACGTTTGCCCAGTGGCCGGCTTGCATGTTCGCGAGGAGCGCTTAGCCGGCGCTGGGAACTTGTTGGTTTCGGGAGATGTGGCGTACGTGGCGAGTGCGGACCTGCCGGGCGTGGCTGTGGTGAACGTCTCTGACCCCACAGACCCTTTCATCCTGAGCAGTTTGCGCAGCGAGTACTTGGACGGCGCCTATGGGGTCGCTTTGGGACCCGAGGACCTTCTCTATGCAGTCTCCTTCTATGCACATGCCTTTGTTGTGGTGAATATCTCCAATCCCTCTCAGCCCTTCATTGTAAATGCGCTGGTGGATAACTTTCTCCTCTTTGGGGCCTATTCCGTTACGGTGCCTGGTGTCCGCAGTTAGATGCCCCCAATATGGGGCGTGCGCAACTGGCGGTTTTCGGCTCGGCTTGGGTGTCTGGAACCAGCTTGCGTCCCCATCCAGGGAATTCCGTCTCTGAGAAAATATGCAACCCCGCTGAAAAGATTAGGCAAAGGCGATCAATCCTCAGGATATACCTTCAATCACGGGACAAAACCTGAAGTGAAGAAACGCAGCCAGTAGCCTAAACCGCGGGGGCACTCGAGCTGAAGATGTAACGAATTGGCATGGCAAAAGCCCCAATAACCAGTAAGACGTTGTGAAAGACAAGAAGAAGATGGCACCCAGCAACCAGAAGCAAGGAGAAACCAACCCATCAAGAAAGGGTGGGCACTCAGCCAATGCTCAAAGGTGTCAGGTACTGGTTTCACACTACCCATCCCCTCTAGGCCGGGTTGGCTCTTGCAAACAAACTGACAACGGAACACATCAAAAAGAAGGAGGAGCTAGTCAGGCAGCTGTCACTCCGGCCAGATGCGCGGCATTGCGCGCGTGGGGCGTGGGCCAGCTTTTGTCAGCCCCCAGAAAGTGCATTGTCCCTAGAAAGACAAAATGCACAGCGCCTGTAGAGGCCGAAAGTAGTGGAAAACCACCCCAGGTTTCAATGGCTTGCGAAACATGCCTGCAATCCCAAGCAAGTGTCTTCAGGGCTTTCAAAAAGCGCAGGGGGCAAAGGCAATCAATCCTCAATCAGATGGTCTAGAAATGGGTCCTATCGATTTGCGAAAGGCTATGACAAATCGAATGCGTTCCTTGGTGGTTTCCGGCCCTCCTCTTCGCTTTTTAGGTTTTTCTTGGTTTCCACGCAACTCGCAAGTTCGTCGCTTTCAGCAGGGCATCTGAAAACGGAGCGCCCAGCTTCCATGCCAGTTCACTTACAGCTGGTTCCGTGCCCGGGGCTCCACTTCTTGACCCGGGACCTGCTGGGTTTCAGTCTTGAAGTCAAAAAGTGGAGCCCTGTCCATTTTGTTTGGACCAGGTGGACCAAGACGTGGCGGTTGTGCCGTGCCTGGACGGCGAGACGCTGACGCTGGTGAACCTCTCAGCGCCCACGCAGCCCTCGCTGTCCTGCGGCTACTCCCTGCGTGGCGCCCGGTACGCAGCGGTGGCCGGGAACGCGACGTTGGTACCCAGCACCGAGGCTGAAAGGCGAATGGGAGGCATGGAGCCTGGAGGCCGATTTGAGTATCGCTCAAAGTTGAAGAGCTGGGGTTGCGCGGGTTTTAGTCTTTGGTTTCATTTACCAAGGTGCCATTTTGGTACCACTTTTTGGAGCCACAGGGGCTGTGGGTCAAAACCAATGGTACCATGTGGGTAGGTGCACCACCCATATTAGTCTATTTGAGTGGGGATTGGGATGTTCACCGGGGGACGGGGTTTTGACCCATGGCCATATCCAGTTTTGACATGTGTGTGCTCACCTGTGCAAGCAGCGGCGAGGTTCGGGGGGTTCAAAAACACCACGACAGCTAGTTTGGTGGTGCATTTCCTCTTCGTGACGGTGAAGCACATGCATCCCCCCTTCTATTTCATGATTCTAGACCCATCCGCAAAGGATCCCCTGGTTCAGACATGGACATGTCTCAAAACAGGGACTCAATGTGGCTTAAACAAAACAAAAACACACACACACACACAATGCCATGAAGTGGAGATCTAGACCACTCTTCGAAGAAAGCCCCAACCAATGGATGCTCCGGGTTTTGATGACTGACCGCTAGCTCAATCGATTTGAGTTGATCTTGCGCGTGTTTGTTGCTTGGGTGTTCGAATTGTTATGGGAGTTTTTCTGTGTCATGATCTGGTTGTATAATGCCATGAGCACGAGAGCTAGGAAGGCTGTTTTGCGGCTGGCAGGGCTAGAGTGTTGTTACTGCGGATGCACTCAGGCTATGATACGGATTCCTTGGTGGCCTTTGATGGGCGACCTTCGACAATGCTGTAGCCTTCAGGGGTGTGCTCGCATGAGACTGACTCAGGGCTGAATTCACCGCCAGATCGGAGCAACTTCTCCGTTTGGCCAAAACCACCAGTTTAACGTGCGGTTCGGAGGATGCAGCGAGCCTGTTAAAAAAGAAATCGATCGACGTCAAGCATGATCATAGCAAGGCGGTTTTGGCCATGACCATGGAATGCGGAACTACTTTAATCCCAAATTCGCCAGTTGCATTCTCCAGTGCACGTGGGTCAGCGCGTGACCCTTCTGATGTGCCTTTGGAAGTATTGGCGGAAGCTTTGCATCACAATTTGCATTGACATGCAGCTGCTGGACTGCTGAAGCACTCCGGCTTGAGGCATAGCTCTAGGAGCTGCCTTGCACCCGCCGAGATGAAGATCTGTTGGCTCAGAAGCGGCGCATAGGTTCGGATGTTGGTCAACCCCCAGGGCTTAGTCCGACGCATGGGAGGGACAGCCTGGATTTTGCTTGACGAGGTTACCCTCAGGATGACTTCTTTCTCAACGCACTTGTTTGATTTGGGAGCGGGTCTCACCGGGTTCTCTTGCCTGGCAGCCGGCACGCGTGTGTCGGCAAAGTCGAATGGACGCACCGAATGGATGCTGAGAATTCTTTCAGCTGCTGCGAGGCGGCTTGCAGAGATGCTGACAAGTGATCAAAAGCTAGCTGCCAGCGAGTTGTGGGACCCAGAGCCTGCTTCTCCGTCAGCTTGACTGAATTGAATTGAGAGCGAGCTTTTCTTACAGTGGTGCTACCCTCCCACCAATCAACATGGAACCTGACGTTTGGGCCCCTTCAAAAGGAAATTGGTCCAAGCCCAGACCCCAGGTGGGAGGGTAGATTCTGTATCTGACCGAAAGTGCCATGGCCAGCCTTGTGAGGACGACCTCGCGGAGAACCCGACGCTCCCTTCCTCTGTCCTGACACTTGCCCAGGCAGTCAACTCAGCCGCAAGTTCAGTGACCGATTGCCGGAAGTCACAATGGCAGGCTTCGAGAACCCTCTCTTTTTCTTTTGCCGAAGTGTTCCGCACCCAAAATCGCAGAAGTCTTGCAGGGGCAACCCCCGTTTGGGTTGTTGTTTTCTTTTTCCTCCTGATTCCATGGGCGCCCAGCTGGTAACGTCCCGGTCGGCAAATTCCGTGCTTCAGGCGGCGGCGGAGCTTTTTGACCTCAAGGATCCTTTTGTCCCCGGAGATGCGGAACCGGGGAGACGGCGTTTTTTTAACCCTTTATGGCTAGTTTGGTTGGATCTTTGGACTTTAAGCTTTTTGGGACACGCTGGATTTTCCACTCGCAAACAGCTATTCACTTCTTGCCGGGGGGTCAGCAGCAACCGACTTTGCTTTGGGGTTTCCCTTTGAACCAATCGGAAAAGGGCGAAGCATGTCGAGGCCACACTCTACCCTAAGGCCACTCTTGACACCCACGGAGCTTCCCGTTTGAGACAAATCCAGACTCCTGGCGTCGCCTTGGATTCCCAAAAACAGATCTCACAGATCCCTGCATGTTGCTTCAGAAGCCAGGCGCCTTGCAGGGTCACTGATTTGAAGGGATGCAGTCCCACGCAACTTAGCCCCAAAACAGTTTGGGGGACGCCTCTTCCAAGCTGTGTTGAAACGCACTCCTTTCCGTGGGCGTTGATGTGATTGCTCTCCAGGAGGGCGATCTCATGACACAGCCAACCGTTCCGCCTGGCCTTCCAGAACTGGTCGGGCACTCGTGCTCTGCGTTCGATGACTAGGAGTTCTGCAAGGGATCTGCAGGTTTGCCCCTTGGTCTCCAACGCAGGGCCTTGATATCAAGCTCATGCTCAATCGAGCGACCGAGAAGACGCGAAGCGCGCTGAGTTCACTTTTTATGAAGCATTTGCAAGATGTCACGCATGAAAGTGTTGTTTCAAAACCATCGGGCACTTGGATGAGATTCGGGTTGGGGTATTTGGCAACGCAAAGATATTGGCTGCAACCAGTTTGGCGGTGATCGATTTTTGAGACAAGCTGGTATGTGGGTTAAGTTCGACCTTTGCAAGCTGGATGTTCCTTTTTGGAGGCACAGCCTCGTCAAAGAGCGATCCTGTGTCTTTTTCACTGCGAGTAGATTCTGGATGTGTTGGTTTTTCCCGTTTGGACCTTGTCTAAATACTTTAAGGTGGTTTCTTCCATGAGTCACAATCCACACCTGAGATGAAGCTTGCGGTCCAACATTTCGGCCCGCGTTGATCCAGCTGAGGCGGTGGAGCTGGTACCCCACTTCGCCAAGAAGGACTCCACCTTGCTGGTCTTCCTGCCCGGGTGCAGCCGGCGTGTGGGAACTCACATGCCGAGAGTCGGGAGAGGGGAACCGGGGAAAAAAAGTCGCCACGCTTCATAGAACCCTTGCGCGTTTTTTGTTTTTCTCCCCTCGTTGTTTTTTGGTTTCGCGGGCTACATGGGGTTTCTATTCAGGACACCTAAGCGACCTGAGAAGTTCACTGTGTCAAAGGTTTTTTTTTCCCGGTTCTTTTAGAAGAAGCCAAGATCAATCCAGGAGTTGGAGGAGCCCCGCCATTTTGCTTCACTTTGGGAGAAAATCCTAGGACTCTTGTAAATTTGAACTGACTGATCCGCGGGGACCTCGTTCTTCCTTGGGCCCTCGTTCGTTGCAGACATGATGCCAGGGTGCAGTTGAAGGCCTCAGCTTGGTCTTTCGTGCGTTCGGCCAGAGGATTTTTGGAGCCGTCTGAAGTCCTACCCCTTTCAAAAAGAACAAACGGTGGTTGACTTCCATTTGCTTAGGAATATGTTTTATGTTCCCCTGTTGGTTTTAAAGGGAATCTATCACTACTGTTTTTTTTCCAGGGGTCTTAACCAAATGGAAGAAAACAATGATGCAACTTGTCACAGCCTTGACCCCGTGGATGCTTGAACCTTGGCACCGGCTCTGAATTGGCATCTACCGGGCTCTGTCGCCAAGGGGCTTTTCCGGATGATTGCCCATGACATGCCGTCGAATGGATGGCGACCACTGGGCTTCCAGAAGAGCTGAGTCCTTGCCAGTCAAACTTGGCTTTGGCATTCGAACTACGCTTCTGTTTTGCGCTTCTTCGTGCCCTTCGGCCAGAATGATGGAGCTGAACAACTTGTCGGAGTTGTTCTCCTCATCGAAGGCTGGGGCTGCGCGGATATTCCATGCCTAGCTCAGCAGCCCGAAAGCTCCAGAAAGTCAGCAACCCTCGGAGGAACGAATGGAACCGTGAGCGTCCTGCAAAAAACATCTAGCAACACTTGACGCAGAGCTCAGTCGAACAATGCAAACGCCAAGCCCTGTCCATTTGCCTTCCGATTCGCGCTAAGCCTGTGAGGCTTTGGCTACCAGCGCGCGGCCAAACAGGCAGGCTGAAAACGATGTGCGACAGGAGCAGCAGCATGAGAGGTGCGCTGATAGACACAAAGGCAGCGCTGATTTTCCCAAACCTGTCAAATTTGGCTATGGTAATTGTTTGCATTCTGTGCAATTGCTTTTGTTTCAATGGAACTGAAAATTATGTGTTCAAAACGGAAATCTTGCCGGGCTACAGTTGTTGGCTCACCCAGAGCCACATACTGAGAAGGTCTTTTTCATTATGAGCATCTTGAGCTCACTCCAACTTGGTGAGAGTGCATCATAAGCTGACTTTGTTAGAAGGTGAGATCAATTTCCATGTGTTTCCTGATTTCAGGAGATGGTAAAACTTCTCATGCTGCTGTACTTCTGGCTAGATGTATTGTGCTATTGCCGAGTCAGTACCAGTATCCCTCGAGCTCACCTGCAGTTGGTTTGCCTCTTTCTTTGTTTGTTTCAAATTCGGGGACGCCCACAAGTTTGTTTTTTTGGTGGGGGGGGGGGGGTTCCCATGTAAAACCGGACCCCCCCACAAGGATGGGTGAGTTGTTTTGGTTTTCTCAGGTAAAGCCCAACCAAAAAAAAGTGCCTTTCGCGGCAGATAGCGCCGATAGCGCTGGAAGAAAAGCAACACGACTCTTGTGGCTGAATTTGTGTGCTGCGTTTTTTGGGCCGCAAGGATTTCAATGCTCGTTAGCTGAAGTAGCTGTGTTGCCCTAGCTGAAATTGGGGTGCTGTTTTTTGGGACCGCAAGGACATGCTCCGAACCGAAGTGGCTGTGTTGCACTCTGCGCAGTGTCACGCTTGACTTGGGCGTCCAAGTGGAGAGGTTTTGGCTGCCAATACTTGGACATCGAAACAGCTGCGACGCCTCACAACCAACCTCCTTTTGGCCAGGGACTCGCCAATCAGCTACAAAGTCTTCGTCCTGCACTCCGTGGTGGGGGGGGAAAAGCGGTCCGTTGCTACCATGCAGTGCTGGTTTAGACACCGGGCCATGAGGTGATAAAGGCTCCGTGAAGCCGAGCCTCCGTTGGAGCAAGTGACCAAGAGGCTTTCAAAGGATGAAGGTGTACTGCTCGTCAAATCGGCAGTTGGGGCTTGAATGGATCTTCAGGCCTGGAGCCTGCAAACTGCCAATCTTTAGGGGATAGCACTGCGATTTAAAGTCAAAGGGTCAAACCCTATCAGATCAAAGAGTACCAAGCGCCCCGTGAATCGGTCAGGTGCCGCGATCGCAGCAGGACGAGGTGTTCCACCCGCCCACAGGCGCTTTTTTGCGATGCAGTCTTTCACCAGCGCCGCCCAAAAAAACTCCAAAAGAAAGTTCCAGGCTGTGCTTGGAGTGGGTGACACGGCTGGTTGGCATGGCTGGGGGACAGGCTGGTGCCACCGCGCATCGTGAGGCCCAGCTCCTTGAGGGTTTTTTTCCTGCGAAGTGGACCAAGATGCAATGCACAAAGCCCTGTGCAGCGCGCATGTTTTGAGGCTGGCTATGTATATATAATATATATATATACAATAATACACATATATATATAAGTAAGTGAGTGCGTGCGGAGCACTTTTTCTACGGAAGGGGCAGTGGACATGGTGGCAACTGCAGCGTAACGGTGCTTGGCATGTGTCACTGAAACGAATCCTCGGCCCTTGCTGCAGGTGGGAGATGCCACATTGTTCTGGCTTCAAACATTGCGGAGTCCTCCCTCACGCTGTCGGCGGCTGAGTGCAGCTGAAGCTTTGGGACAGTTGCCTTCCAGGTGAGGCAGGTCCCTCAGCAGACAAGAGGCGCATGCAAGCGAATCGCGGATGGGTACTTATGCCCAGGTGCTAGGATGAATGCGCGTGGAAGACTTTGTGCAAAGCTGGGGCGAAATTGTTTTTCTTTGCTGAGTGGTTGAGTCTTCAAACATGGCTGCATGGAGTGTGGTGCCCAGAGCAAGAGGTCACTCGTTGCGTCCAGCTGTGATTCCTCGTGGGGAGTATCTCTTTGAGTCACCGGGTGTTGGTTCAGACCCAAAGGGGCGGGAGGTCAGCCATTCCCCGCGTCCCCAGAAATCCACTTGCGCCTGGAGCTCAACCTTCTGGAGGAATCTTCTTTCGGATCGGGCCGCTTTTTGGGGATCATGGGGATCCATGTCATGGTTCAGGAAGGAACATGTTGCTTGCCATGAAGCAAAGCAGGCAAGCTCAACCATTCGACCGTGGGTCAAATGGCCGGCTTCTGTCCTGGGAATCGGTCGTCGCCGCGACGCGGGGAGTTACTTGCCGGATGGCTCAAAAGGAGAAGTACCTTTGCTGACAATAAGCTATAGCATACCTATGACATTGAAGCTGCTCACCCACACTGTCAACATGGCAATCTATTATGTTCAAAACACAGAAGATGAGAGGATTGTCCTTCACAAACCTGGGTGCTCGCGAATGTGTATGTGCCACTTCCGCTATCGCAGCATGCTGTGAGCCATGATGCAGACTCTGACGTGGAGGGCTCGGTGAAGACACACGCACACACAGACAGACATACGCGCATGCAAACACGGACAATCTGGCAGACACGCATGCTCACGTGCTGCCAAAAACATAGTGTGACATATATTTTTTGAGCAGGCAACAGGGTGCCTCTAAATTTCAGTTAGTTCCAGAGGACTTGGACACTTGACCTGGATGACAATGTAACTGGGGGGGGGGGGGGGGCACTGGCCGAAGAAATGCAAGCACCTCATGAGTCGCCCGCTGGCTGAATCGATCGCATGGTCTCAGGTCTTGTCCCCTGCTGAAGTTCAAGGGAGAGACGCCGATCTTGTGTGAAGAGGGTCTGGCTGCCGGACTCTTAGCCCAAGTCCAGGGCTTGGTTTCATTCGGGGAAGTACCAAGGGCCACTTGCTAAATCCATCAAAAGCAGGAAGAACCATGTAGACAATGTAGACAATCTAGACTGGCACATTTCCAGGCCACTGCAAACTGTCCGTATCCGACGGCCATTCTGCCATCACTTCCAGTGCTTCTTGACAGGGGACCTTCAGAGGCAACTTCTCAGACAGTCCTCACTCGAGTCTTCGGGTCGACGGGTGCGCAGGTCATCGAAGCTTTGCCTGGCCCATTGTGCCCCATCGCCTTCGTGGGGGATGGTCGCAGTGGTAAGTCCTACCTCGCCTCGAAGACGGCGGGACCGGGGACCGGGGATTCGGGGGCAACCTTGGTGGCGTGTCAGAGTCTCTTGGTGTCCGTTGGTCAGTTTGGATGAACTTTGTTTCCATTGGTTTCAGTTAAATGGCCATGGGTCAAAAGCCAAATCGTACCCCCAGCGAATATCCCAATCCCACTAAAAAAGAGTAAAATGGGTGGTGCACCTACCCCAAAATGGGATCCCATCGGTTTTGACCCACAGCCAAATGAGAAGCATCTACTGGTGAGACCCATTCCTTTCCATAAGACTTGGGCCTGTGGCCGGGGCGTCGTGGTTCTTCAAGGGCACTCTCTTTGGCCTTGCCTCGCGGGATTTGGAGCCAATACGCATGAGACCTGGTTTTCGTTCTTCAGCTTGGCGACCCGAAAAAGGTAGCCCCTTTGGACCTTATTCTTTGGATAGAACCAAAGTCATCGGTTGGCAGCTGAAGTGTCGCAAAATACCCCATAAGACTTCTGGAGGTTAGGTGGCCTCAGAGGGGTGCTTCAGGACCCTGCCGGAAAACACGCAACAGTCCTGCCAAGAGATGATGACCTGGAGCCATGCCATGCCACAATCTTCGCGGGTTGATCTCGCGCTGGTCAAGCGCCCTGTACAGAAACCCGCTTCCCTGCCCTTGAGTCGGCCGGCTCCTGCTTTCTGTTTACTGTTTGCCCAACTGCTGGCTGAACGCTGAGGAAATATTTCAGCTTTGCGAATGAGCCTTGACATAGCTTGTTCTCACAGAGTTCTTGAAAGGGAAGGACCCTCCAGTATTGATTCCCTCGCCGAAAGACTGCTCTGCTTCTCCTCCTATCATTTCGACCTTGAAAGCTCCTCGGAAGCCCTGCATCGCTGAGGGACATCCCTTCTCCAGACCATATTGGGACTCTGAACTCTTCCCGAAAGCTTCAGCGCAGTATCAAGCATTCTGCCTTACGTAAAGAGGGGCCAAGGTTGGAAGTCGTCCCCGGCCTTGGACCAGAACAACAGGCGAGTCCTGCCATGTTTCACCTTGCGACTTCTGGTGGGCCTTTCTGCTCGATGGTAAGCGGCGCGCAAACCGCCTGGCGTGACTTCCGGTTGGATGGTTCGCTGCCGCGTCCGTCGCGCCCTGCGACTCAGGGGGAAATGAGGCGTATGGGATCTGCCAAGGCGCTAGGAAGCAGATGGCTACCGCACGGCTGCAGAGATCAACAACGGAAAGGCGCAACAAAGAAAGAAGAGTTCAAACTCGATAATTCCGGCCACTGTCAAATGCCTAGAACTTCAAATTCAATGATGCTCACTGTGCAACGACCCCCCCAGAGCGGTCGATTTGTGTGGCACGTACAACCGTACAGCCCTCTTCACAACTCAAGGAGATTGTCACTTTTTGTTGGCACAACTGGCCGCGGAGGTCTTAAAACTGCAGTGAGCTTCCCAACATTTGTGCACCTTTTATGAATCCGTTTTTTTTGCGACTTTCCCGCAACCACTGGCAAAAACGCAGCTAACCGACAAAACGCAAGCTACGCAAACCGAGGTCGACTTGCGCGCGGTTGCGAGTCACCGAAGGTGCGTTTCTGGGATGCTTGCAGCCTTCCAGGTGGGAGTCGATGCCTTCAAAGACGACGACTCTGAGGAAGCCGTGACTGAAGGCGCACCCCTTTGAAAAAGGCGGTAGAGGAAGCCGGCGTTTTGAATTTATTTTATTATTATCCTTCTTCTTCTTTTTTCTCCGTTTTTTTTTGAGATGGGTGTGGGTCAAGAATTCTATACGGATATGGGCCTCCGGTTTTAGTCTACTTTCCATGTACCAGGGCAAGCCATTTTGGGGTTACCTATTTTTGACGAGCGCAGCCAGATGTGCGGTGCGATAGGCATCGACGTGGCGGCGATCTCCAGCCACCCGGGGCATTTGCTGGTCTTCGACTGCGAGGGCGGCAACAACGCGCTGTCCAAAAGCCATTCCATTGTGACTGTGGCGGTATCCTTAGCACGCGGCAGTCTTTTTTTTTTGGGGGGGGGTCTGGGAGCTTCGGGGGGGGGGGGGTGGAGCTTGGGGTGAGGGGAGGGCTTGGGGGTGGGGGGGCCGGTTGAGGGCTTGTGCTTTTTGAACCAGAAAGGATGACCATCCACTCGGTTTTGGGAAAGCCCCCCATTCCCAAAGGCCGCTTCAAACAAAAAGAAGAGCAAGCCTCCAAAAGGGAACCGGCTCCAAAAAAGAGACACCCATCTGCGCACAAGCCAGCGACAAATCCAGGTGGTGGTGAGCGTAATGAGGAAACTCCTTCAGGAGGATTGGCGGCTGTGAAATGATTTGAATCCGCATGGTAAAGGATGTGCACTAAAGGGTTGATTTCCATGAGACACACTCAGGTGTGTCTTAAAGTAGTTGGAACAACCCCCGAAGGGGCACCGACTTATAAAGAGACACACATGGAGATAAACCAAAGACAAACTTTGGTGGACATCGGAAGTTTCCTCATTGGACAATCACGACCTGGTTTCGACTTTGGCTTGCCCCAACATAGTTTGAACAACCCAAAAGGGTACCAGCTCCAAAAAAGTGGCGCACCCATGGAGACAATCCAAGGACAATCTCAGGCTGTTGTGAAACCGCTGCTGGGTATCCACCAATCATTTGAGGGGAGTTTCCCGCTTGTAGATCTACAACCATCGGTGTTTTGTTTTTGACTTGTCCACAAAATAGTTTGAAAAACCCCAAGCAGGGTATCAGCTCCCAAAAGACACACACACACACACGCACACACGCACACACACCTTTGAAAAGACACTCCAAAGACACAGTTGTGAATCTGCAATGAGACTTCTCCAAAAGACATACCCTCCAGTCCATTAACATGGAACCCATCAGAGGGTCCCTTTTAAGGAACATAGTCTTCCAAGACCACAAAATGTCAGGTTGCCAGGTTCAATGTTTGTGGGTGGGAGGGTAAATTGACCCACCCCAGGTTTTCATGATGTCCACCCCAGGGCAATGTTTTAGGACCCCTCAGTCAGGTTACATATCAGTGGGTGGGGGCTAAATTGATCAACATGTTTTCATGATGTCCCACAGGAGGGTTCACTTCGCCGTTATGCTTCAGACTAACATGGAAGCTCCCTCTGTAAACGGAACCAAGTCTTCCAATTCGGGGTCCGTTCGGGAGCTTCCATGAAATCGTCTGGGGGAGGGTATCTTCTGCCCGGTAATGTTTTAATGATGTCCACTGGAGGCCAGGCCCCCAAAATAGTGGTAACTATCCCTCTGGTTTCCACGCGGCCCCCCAAAGAGAAAATGCTTGTTCCGTGGTTTTGACCCCCAAAAAAACATCGGCTTCTCTAACCCAAAACAAAGCCCCCCCCAAAAGAAAGAAAGGTTCCTTTTTTCTTCCTGTGGTTTCCATTTTGAACTTCCCCCCCACCAACAAAAAAAAACCATCGGCTCCCGGTCTTTCTCGGTCTCCGTCTCGGTCTCAGGTGGGCGCCCTCTTCGCCACGGCCCTGATCTTCGTCACCGACGGCAAGGCCTCCGAGGCCGCGGTGGAGGCCCTCGGCCG